CTCCCTTCTCTTTCCCCCACAGCTTGAGGACCAGAATTTCTTCCTTTATGTTTTTAGGCATGGAAAAGTAAGCATATACTTAGACATTTTTTTAAGGTTTAATACTCAAGTCCAGCCCTACTTAAGCAAAGAATTCACAGATGATATTTACAAGTCCAGTGTAATTACTGCAGGGTTGAAAAACGAGTTCTGTGAGTTACGGTACATCATTGTTTTTCTTTTTTCTTTTTTTTTTTTTTTTTAATGTTACAAAGAACAATGTGCCTTTCATTTCCTGCAGTGCTGTTAAGGTACTTGCAGCTCAAAGCAGCAAGAATACATTAAAACTAAAAAGCATTTGGTTTGGGCATTAAACATTTTTATTTTTTAGATAAATGCCTCTCCCTCTACAGAAATTGTTTGAGCAACGAATTTGGCACACGTTTGTAATCAGCTGTAATAATGAATGCTGTCTTGCTCACTTGAAATGGGAGAATTTACCAACTTCTTTAACAAGAATTTGCTAATCTACAATTAAAGTGGTGTGCTACCAACTTGGAGTTATCAAATCACAATACCACATGCTCGAGAGACATCAGTTGTCTGTCGAAAATGACACAGCGTTCTTCTGCTTTACACAGCACACTTTGTGTGTACCTTTACGCTGCAGTTATTAATTCGCCAGTACTACCACATCAAACACAAACATCGCCTGGTGGATGTCTGACATCCATTTACTGACAGCAGAAACACAGCACTGTACCACAATTATTAACTAGTTTGTGCTACACCCTCTTTGCCTTCCTCCAGAGTTAAACTCCTGCTGGAGCCGAGCAGGATTTGACTTTTAATAGTCAATGAACCTCTAAAAGCTGCAACCACAAACGTCCCCACTTTGCAGACAAAAAGACTGAAAAGTTTTCCTACAGAAGTTTACAATAATCCTACTTACAAAAAGAAAATCTATCCGATAGCCGTTTCCACGACTGAAAGAGAGAATAAAAGCCCTAGAGAGAGTCCACGGCAGTGCTGAGCTGGGAATTTAGTTGTTCCTGATCCCCAGGCATGCAGTCACTTCACTACATCAGACTAGCCATTTTGTCACCCTCAGTTCACTGAAAACTGGTTTGTTTATCAAATACAACACCAAACCAGTGCATTTAACAAGCTTTTAAAATCAATAACCTTTTTTCTTGATTGGGTGAATTGCAAAATCACTTTGCGGTGCCAACTGAAATGAAGCTTTTACATACCATTAGGCAACTACAAAAGTGGGGAATTTTCCACACGGGTGTTCCACCCAGCTGGTCAGAAAAAAACCTCATTTGAGCAAAATATCAGGACATCGGAACATGCTCCTGCTTTTCATCCTGGCCTCTTTCATCATCCCTCCCGCAAATTTCCTCACCCACATAAGGAACAGACAAATTCTGGGTTTTCTTCCTCCCCGAGAAGCCCTTTCCTGTGCTAAGGGACCTGAGAGACAGCAGCACCGTGCACACCATTCGGTTACACGTTAGCTTTACCCCTGGTTCCAGGACAAGACATCTGGACCTTGGACCATGCATGCACTGAGCCCTGTCTCGCCTGCATGTCTGCTTTTCATGACCATCATGCTGGATCTCTCCCTCTCAAAAAAAAAACCAAAACCAAAAACAACCTGTAAATTTTTGCAGTAGTGATCAGGTAAGTGACTGCCTGAAAACTATCCTGGCTTAATGAAGGCTGAAGAAAAGGCTAGAGTCGGTGTTAAAGCCACCACCGAGAGCAGAAGATGTCACCATCTTCTCTGTCTGTAATGATTCTGCTCCAGAAAAATGCAACTGTAAAGCCCACAAGAAAAAAAGGAGTGGCGCTAAAAAAGAAAAGCTTTTTTTCCCATGAACTTCACTTTAACGAAGGTTAGACATACAGGCTTTCCAAAATAACACATACAATTTAGAATGATAAATTAAAATCTGTAGTAGGAGGCCTTCTTTTTCAGGGCTGTATAGTTGACCCTTTTGAACCTACATTACTCAAGGTATGCAAAATATATGTGTATAATAAATAGCTCTAGAATTTATGGAGTGGAACAGAAAGGATATTAACAGGCAAGTAGAGAGGCTGTATAACCCTCACAAGGCCTTTAAAGATTTATTTTTTTAAAATGAAGGAATGCATGCATATAAAAGGTAGTACTTAATCGATAGACTTCTTTGTGCCTTCCAGAAACACATGCAAAATTATTCCAAATCTGCCCTCAATCTGGTCATTCCACTGTTACCGTCAGTGGGAATAAGATTATTCACAACTCTGTTTTTCTCTGATTTGAAAAAAAAATAAAAAATTCCTCTCTGTGTGGGCTCATTCCCACTCTCAGTAAAATCAATTACGAGACTCCCATTGACTCCGGAGGGATTTGGATCAGGCCCTGTGGAAGTGGGTCTACAGCAAGTGTAGAACAACGCAGTTAATATGATTTATTGTGTCCGTTTCTGTGCGTGCAGTTTTTCATTTTCTAAAGCCTGCAGTTTTGCTTTCATCCTCACGTTCAGTAGATAAGAGCTGCAGATCCGTGTTGATCTACACGCTGGGTACACTGCAAGCTGGGGGCTGCCTGCGCTGAGCATGAGCTCAGCGCCCGCCCGGGGGGAGCAACCCCTTTAGGGCCAACAGACTGCGGGAGATGCATTTGTGAGGAAAATCTCCCACACAGGCACCGCAAAAGGTGCGTAATCAGTTAGGAGGCTTCTGCTGTGGTGGGGAAAAATACCCTTTAGTAAAAGTGAGAAAAAGAAAAATCCTTTTCCTGTTTATTGGGAAAAAAAAAAAAAAAGTACCTTTTGCAGGGCACCAGTGAAGTTCCGAGAATTCACTAAAAGCTTGTTTTACAAGGAAGATTCAGGCTCCAAATCAGAGATATTTAATTTCACTAGGCTCTTACAGATTTTACATTATTAAACACTGACATTGCCGCTTTTCAGGGCGGTTGTTGAGTAACAGGCTTCCCTAAGACTAAGAAACTGCAGGGTAAGACGAACTGTGGTTTAATAGCTGTGAAAGAGTATTATCTAAACACGAGATAATAACATGCTTGGTGCCTAATACATTCTAAATTAAAATATGATTTAATAAACATAGGCAACATATTCCCCACAAAAAAAAAATAGCAGAATTGGCAGAACAAAAATCACAGTTTAGTCAGTTCTTCTCTTAACCTCGCAATCCTTTGGCTACAAATTAGAATTTCTGTGAACAGGATTGATAAGGGAAATTAGACGCTGTCTTTCAGAAACAACAGAAATGTTTTAAGATGGTATGTTTAGAGATGAGCAGCACAAAATCTATCAAAATATGAAACCTTTCATATTGCAGTGGGAGGAAAATACAGGAACCCCAAAAGCCAAAATCTTATCGGCCCAATGAGCCCTGTGTTCTATGTCCTGTGATACAGGCTTGTATTTTATAGTCTTTTATCTACCTAAACCTCTTCTTCTTCCCTTAGTTCTATCCGACCCAAATGCAGTCCGGCTGTGAATGCAGCCCTTCAACCTCACTCCCACTTGCAGCTCGTTTGGTTGCTAATAAAGTGCCCAAAACACACACTGAACACACATACAGCTGTAGGGATGCACTGCAAAGATTTGAGGCAAAACCAGTTAGTTGTTCTATGAAAGGGCAATCACAGTTGTATGATAATAGATAAAATATTTCTACACGAGATGGATTTAAATGTACCAAAAATGGTGACAGGTTGTACAGCCACAAACCCTTCACACAAATTCTTTTCTGTGTATGCACAGTAGACCCCCGTACAGCAGATTCCCCATCTACATTTAGTTCTTTTAAAAAAAATCTGGTTATGGATAAAAAAAGTTAAGGAAAACTATTAATAATAATCACTTTCACTTTGGGAGCCATTATTTCTTAAGTCCTAAATATAGGTAGTAAAACAAAACTCAGTTGCCAATGGGCCAACAAAAATTGTTGAGGTCTATCTTACTTAAACATAAAAAGGAAGAGAAGCTGCTCCCTTACACACATACTTATCCTTTCACATATAGTCCCTACAGAAATTCCCTATTATTGAATGATTTTTTTTTTTTCAGGCTGCTTTACAATGCAAGCCATTGATTCAGTAGAAGCTATTGCTCCTACTTTAAAACTGTCCCAGTTCAAAGAATATTAGCGTTCCCAAAATTCACAGTCCTGCTGCTACTTCCAAATAAGCTCAAGCCGCCGCCACCTGCAACAACGGTATTGCGAACATAAAGAGAAGAAGGAGCAAGAAGCGCTGGTCGAGACTCCTTGCCCTGCTTACCCGCAGTATCTACAACCTTTAAAGCACGCCGATAAAAAAATACAGACAACGCCGGTAGCACCTCTATCAGCCCTGCAGCGGGTACCCGCTGGAGCAGCTGGTGGGTTTATGGGGGTGCAGTCCTGCCCTGAGACCGCAATGTTTTGGAGCATTGCTGCCTAGTTTCGTTTAGCAGATTTTTGCAGTAGTAGAGAGTGGGTCTGCAGAAACATACTTCAAAGCAACCATTTTGTTCCATGGGACTATCGGAGATCCTGCACTCTAAAATGATGGCTGGCCACACACCGAAAGTTAGGTACTTCAGTGTGTCATGTGAGAGCATCAATAAACAAAATGAAGTTAAAAGCACATAGATAAAGATGAAAGCAATGAAGCACGCACCCCTAGGGGGTCATGACTCACGGCCCAGGGACTGAAAGCCTTTGCTACGGAGGAATAAGGATATGGGTTGCATACAGCAGGCTCTTTAATGGCATCTCCCTAATTAAAATTATTTTTAAAGGAAAAAAAAATTCTCTCTATAGGACTGGAGAAATAAATGCTACCTTAGATTAGGGGAACAGTAGCATTTTAACTATGAGGAGAGTACACAAGCTATTTGTAGCTATCCCATGTCAATTAATCTGAATAATCTTTTTATATTAGATGTAGGAAAAAAATCTTTATAAATATGGGCTGTTTTAATATCCCAAAGCAGGAGCAGCAGGTAAGAACTTACCATTTTCTGGCTGGTCCTTAATATCAGCTTCACTTGGCTGGCTGGGACTTTCAGATTGACTTGAATCTGAAAAACATAAAATACAGCCAAAAATTACAGGGTCTGCTGTGGAAAATAGATCAGAGGCGCCAGACTTCCTCAAAAGGCTGAGAGTACAAACTAAGGACAGGAGTGTTGCACTAGGACATGACAATGCAAAAGTCCCGTGCCGAGGTAATATTTTTGCTAGAAAAAAAAAAAGGGAATCTTGTTTACGGCACTACACAGAGTGCTTGGTGTGTGTGTTAGCATAAATTAAGCTTTGAGGATCCTTCTTTTTAGAGAAGGCATATTTAAACTACTCTCCTACATGTTTTTTATAATGCAGCCTCTATGTTGTATACAAACCAGAGCCTTAATCCAACACATAGTAAAGTCTCAAAACATATTTTCAAGCAGGGATATAAAGGTAACTAAGCAACACTACAAAGTCGTGGAGATTGTTGTCTACACATTTCTGGAACCAAATCTGCAAAACTGATAGAAGAGCTGATTTTCATCATACTTTCGCAGTGGTTACAGCACTATGAGATCACTGAGATGTACGGCGTTGCCCCTGATTTGCGGTGGTATAAATGAGACCAGACACTGGATGAACTGCTTTAGAACTTGTGCAAATAAAGAGCCCTACAAACTCCCAGCTAACAATCTCCAACGAACACAATTTATTTGCCTAAAACAATAAAATGACCTATAAAAGGATATGTGTAAATATGAGTGTTTTGCATTTTTTACACATTATTAGCCCTACTTTATGTGAAGATGATCGTTCTTTGGTTCAAAAATTATTCTTAGTAGAAGCTATAGTCAAATAGTATCTTTCTTCTTAATTATTTCTATCCTATGAATTGGGAAAAAAGATGCCTTTACCTATGTGGAAAAATATTTTTTAAAAAAATCCCTCAAATTCCTGTTTTCACAATTAATACAAATAGAAAGAGTTGTCTATTTATTTTTTTTTTCTCAGAAATTGTTCTGTAATTTACTGATCCCATTAAAAAAGTTTTTGCTGTGAAACAAAACTTAGGAAAATGTTTCTGATGCTACTGCATCAAAAACACGCCCAGTCGTGGCAAACCTATTTTCTGACTTCACCTTGACTTTGCAGAGTTTAGAATTAGCTGTCTGAAATTTGACCACATTTCAGTGAGAAGTCAATGCAAGATCAAAAGGTCATGACACTTAACTGTGATTAAATTGAAAATCTTACTTCTATTGCAACAGAGTGATAACACCACCCCTTCTTTTTCTTTGAGGTATTAATAGCGCTGGAAGAAGCAGTACTACTAGTGACCTTGGGTCAAGCAATGCTAATTTATTGCTTTAAAAAGGTTCCTTGCTTTTAAGCAAATGAAGATTTTAATTACTGCAGAGCACTATAAAGAAAATGCCTATTTTAAATATTCAAATTTTTTTTTACCTGCTGACTGTATGCATTAGGTATCATTCAGAAGCTTAGAGGACAAGCTTGTATAAATTAAAAACTACAAGTAAAAAAAAGTGCTCACAAACCAAAGTTTGATAAATTTTAGAATATAAACATTCAGAATATTTAGCAAAGAAAGCTTCAGTCCTGATACTTCCAATTCAAATCGATGAAATTCTCCTAAAAAGTGGTATGTTTCCCAGTGCGTCCAGAATCCATTTCCTCTCTTTTTGGTATTTATTATTTTGAATAATTTCTCCGATGAAGCTCAGTGAAAAAAATTATTCTCCCTTCGGCAATTTTCTTTTAAATATTGATCTTCTGTGTTATCTTTAACTGAAGCTCAAATCAGTGACAGCAGATAGACTACGGGGTAATATGCACAGGGCTGTTATATTCTGGACGCTAGATTTTGGCAAGAAGTTTCATGTTTCCGATACCGCAAAGGTAGAAACAAAGGTAAAATATTAGGAATGTAAAATATTTAGTTAACATTCAAAGTCAACATTCAGCGGATTTCATTTTACAGTGCAGGCATTAGGCTTTTGCTTATTTTTTAGGTTTTTCTTTTCCTCCAGCAAGCCATGGTTCAATCAGCGTTTGGGCTTTATGTTTAAAGTAGGGTCGGAATTCCACAGAAATTTAGATATTTGAAAAAGCCGCTGCAGAAATACGGGGCTCAAAGCATGTTTGCCTTTCGAAATTTTAAACCCTCCAGCAGCGAAGCAGGGAGAGGGACGAGGGCTCAGTGGCGGCGGCAGGAGCTGGGCTCGGCGCTGGCGCGCAGCCCCCAGCCTGGCACCCTGGCTCTCCCCGGCACAGCCCTGCAGCCGGTGGGCAGCGCACACAGCCCGAGCTGCTCCTGGATTTCGGGAAAACAAAGTACTTTTGTTTGTGTTGAGCGCTGCTTTTCCAACACCAAAGCTAGTGGCACAAGAGAGACTCTACTGGCCGTAGGACGTTTGTTTGCATACTGAATCTTGACTTTCTTCTTTTATTACTCTGGCTAGCGCGATAACGTTTTTCCTAATTCTCTTTTGCTGTAACCCACCCCTTCTGCTGAAATTAAATATTAATTTCTCTAAAAAAAAAAAAAAAAAAAAAGACAATAAAGGCTTTAAGCACTGTTCTTCATGGAGAGGCACGGGGCAATAAAATGCAGGACGAGGTAGAATTAAAACCAATCTCTACTGCGGTAGAGATCAGGGGAGGCTACCGAAAACATGTACTGGGCAAGCGTACGCTCAGCATTGTTATGCAAGGTGGCATCTTGTGGAAACCCCAGATAAGAAGACTGAGTTAAGGCACTTAGCCAAAATGTTTATATGCAGAATTTTGCTTCCCTGATTTTATTCAGATGCCGCAGATGATCCGGTACATATAAATGTGCCGCCACATGGTTAAGGGATTGGCAAAATCAGAGCCGTTGTATTTTACAGTCTTGCCTAGGACGAGAGAGTCTTGCTCAGCCTCCACCGCTCGCTCTCTGCTTTTTCAGCAGTTGGCAGTAACTCCTGTTGGGGCTTTTTTGTTGTTATGCACGTGGAAACTTTAAAATTCCAGTTTTCTGAATGTTTAGTGTTTTGCGGGCTCGGCTACAACGGGAGGGGGAATGTCTGTCCTGCTGAGTCAGTTAGCCAAACAGGTGACCGGAGGAATAAATTAATTTTTGCCCATACATAATTGATATAAATGGAAGATCGTTTTCATAAGCATTTGCATTAAATCAATAAAATCACTTACTATAGAGCAGTTTAACAATTCATTTGATTTTCTCTTTTCTATATATTTGATAGCCACTCTGCAAAACAGTATACACTTTATGCCTATTTTCTTTAGCAACAACACTGCCAGTTAAATTCTACCACCTGCAATAATTAGAGCCATTGGAAAACATACAAAACAAAATATACAGTAGATGCGAGCCCCTCTTGAATCCGCGGCCCCCTGCGGCAACGAGTTTCATTGGTGCCTTAAGCTAAGGCTGGTAGGAAGCCAAAGAATCTGTATATTACAATAAAGTGCATGTTATTAAGGGGAGGATTTAAATGATTTCAGATGGAGTTGGAAATATTATAGTGAGGAACCACTATTAAGATTGCTGATTTAAAAAAAAAAATATCACCAAGGAATCTAGTTTTATATTTAAGGAAGCTTAACCTTGAATAGCACAATGGGTTTTATTTGGGGGCTTTTTTAGTTAAAGAAAAGTTAGTGGTTGGAATTTTTAACCCTAAACTAGCCGGAGTTAGCGTGAGCGTGTTCACTGGAGTCCAGGTTTCTGGACAGGAGAAGCCCAGGGGGATCTGGTATGAACCATAATCATGGGGAAACAGGATAAAAAACATGTCAAAGGTATTTTACTCTCTACTTTCAAGAATCAACTATGATTAAGGGATAAAGAAAAAGAAAAACAAAAAACCATCAAACCAGGCTAGTTTTTCTGAAGTAGCATTTCCTACTACGCCTATTCTCTGTTCCTCTTTGGATCTGTTTCTTAAGCTTACGCTACCCCGGCGAGACCGAGGTGGTTATGCCTGAGCCCCAGGCCTGCCTGATCTCAACCCTGATCTTAGGACCTTCAGCTCCAGCATGGAAGCTCCGGACTTTTCAATACGCGATTTTCCATTTCAGCTGCAGCAGGAGCGCAGCTCCAGCCGGGCTGCACGACGGCTGCGTGGAAGCAGGGCTCGCGGCGCTGGAAGGGAGCGCTCCATTGTTTGGAAAGAATAAAACCTTCCCAGGAAAGTCTGGCCCGTGGACAGGACCAATGTCAACAGACTGACAATGTTGTTCTTTTTTGTAGACCGTGACACAGTTGTTACGCTCCACCACCAAAAAAAGCCCGCTTAGAGTGTCATGGCACTTCCCAGTGCTAAACCACTTTGTGGCTACCTGCCTTCCGAGAAACGGGACACTCTCTTGGGCACTGGCGTTTTCTCAACATACCATGTTCTCCGGGGCATGCTGAATCCAGCCTGGGGTGGCAGTGACCCACAGGGACCGGCCTTATCGTCTGCTGGTCTGCGCAAACGCCATCGACGGGTGTCAAGATTATTTTTTACCTACGTAGAGTAAAGCCAGCCCCCACCAGCAACTGAACCCTCGCTAGCAGCCAGCGTGCTAACTCAGGTGAAGATGGATCTATCCTCTAAACAGGAAAGGTGATCCCCGCATAGTGGAGAAAAAAAATTGCCGGCGGTGCCAGATGAGCAAGGCTGGGCTGCCACTGCCCATGCTGAGCCCGCTCTGCAGCGAAATGAAGCGGGCTCCCTCTCCTCTCCTCCCCTGCCAGCCCTGCACCTCGCAGAAGCACCGCAGAAGCGCACAAGTTAAATTTTCCATTCGTATCATGGGTTTTTTTGGGGAGGGGGAAATACTGTATAATAAACTGACATATTTTATTCAAGTTTCAGAGTCCTATTTGTAATAAAAAATTTATATGGCTGGGTTGTGTTCATGCAATAAATTTTTCATCTATAATTTTGGGCATGGATTCTACCAAAGATTTATATACGTTAAAAAAAAATCTAAATCATGCTCCTTTATATACAGTCTTATGTGGTGAGCTTAAGGGACTTACAAACAGAAACCAGCACCA